TTGAGCCTTAGACCTCGGGGACCATCTTCTGAGCCATTGACTGTGGAGACAGGTAGTGGGAGGGACTCTCAGGCAGGGGCCACAGAGAGGGCAGAGGTGGCCACAACTTAGCTTCTCTGGGGCCTTGAGAGGCCTGGCCTGCCCCTCCTCATAACACGCAAGTCCAGGGTCCCCACCTTTCCCTGCACGTGCCCTCATGCCCTGAGCCCACCACCCTTCCTTCCTCTCCTCCGTCTATTCAAGCTCCTCCATATTGGCTCCACCCCTGGTTCTCATTCTAATTCATACTAAAGAGTGAATGGCATGTACTGCTGCCTACCATGCCCAGGACGTGGAGAGCTGGTGATTTGTTTGAGAAAATCCCTTCCTTCTGCAGGAGGGTCTCTGAGGTGGGCGGGCAGCAGGCCCTGTCTGAGGAGGAGAACTCCACTCCTTGAGGACACGCTAGCCGCCACCCTGTCACCACATTTGAAATCCCACTGGTTACTCTCATTCTTCAGGCCTTCAAAAACTTCTTGGACAAGCAGGTAAAGGACATGTCAGGGCCATGGCCAACAGGGTGGCCACTTGTATTCTGGGTCAAGGCCATGCTTTGGGGGCCAGAGTTGAAGGCTGGTCTTGTGACCCTTCAAACAGCAGTGCCTGCTGTAGGCCAGCTCAGTCCCCACACCCACCTCCTTTCAGCTTTATGAGTGTCAACCCATGACGTCCTCTGGGCCCACACAGCAGATGAGCCTCAGCTCCCTCAGGGCCTTGAACCCTCCTCCTGATGGCTGGCTCACTGTCACACCGGGGCAGACCCAGCCTAGGAGTCCCAAGAGACCAGATTAAAACTGTTCCTGATCTGCGTGTCCAGGTTTCCAGGTCTCTGCACCCTTTTCCCAACAGCCTCCTTCCCCCACTTGCAAGAACAGAGTGATATGAGCTGTCAGGCGTATTTATAGCTGACGTAAACACTTCAAACCAGAAGTCTTCGTCCTGAACTAAAGCTGTTTATTCCCTCTGTGCCCAGATCAGCTGCTCAGCCCGTTGGCTGGCAAGCAGGGGTCAGGTGGGGGGCCTGAGAGAGGAAGGCAAGGGAATCCACACTCCTCCCCTCTCCAGGAGATGCCCTGTGGAGGTGTAGGAGTTTCCTGGAAAGCTGTAGCTGTGGGTCCTTGGTGGGGGCAGGTGCTGTTGGGCAGGGTGTTTAGGGGTGATGACATGTGGGGACTTATGGCCAAGTGTGGACATGGCTGTGGGCAGGGACAGAAACTATGGTACTGTCCCCCGCTCCTCCCTCCTGCCCCAACTCCCGGACCCTGGGACAGGACATGGACAGGGATGGGCACACTACCGGTAACTGAGGTATGCCTGGGGGTCCTTCTGGTCTACTATGTGCCTGCTGGCTGGTCTTATTGTTTGAACCTCCTGATTGTCACCCTACTTCACAGATGGAGAAACTGAGGCACAAAGAGTAAGCCTGGCAAAGGCTTGAACCCGGGCCTCTTGGTGCTCAGTTCTTTGGGTCTCCCCTCTCGCCTGCTGGGACGCCCCGGGGGTAGGCCTTGGGACTGTGGCCATCACTCTCCATCCGCGGAGGCGTCTGGGTAAATATTAGGGCCTGTTTAGATTAAGCTCCATGAATAGAGGAAACGTCAGCGAGGCGCCAGCCCTGCTTCCTGGAGGCCTCTGGCCAGCGGGGACGCAATGGGGAAGCTGGTGAATGGCCCCACTTGTGATTTAGAGCCAGGTCAACCAGCGTCCTACAACACAGCCCACGTGTCCCTGCGCGCCACGCCCCTCCTCCTGCTCGCCCGTCAGCTGCTCACGAGCACCTCCTGCTGGGCGCTTCTCCCAGCTGTGCTCTCCGGCCTCTGTGCCTCCCCACACACTCTGCGCCCCCGTCCCTGGGGCTTCTGCAACCCTCAATGCCACCCTAGCCCAGAGCTGGGCGCTTGAGGCAGCCCCCATAACGCTCTTCAAGGGCAAGAGGGGAGCATGGAGGACAGGCCACCTTCCAGAACTCACAGCACCCACCTCTGGGTCCAGCCTCGCCTGCTGGGACCTGTTCCCAATTCACAGAGCAGAAAGCTGAGGCTTGGAGACTAATTAGGTCAGTG